TATCTTCCATATTAATCATTACCGCTTACAAAGCAAGTAAACAAATTATAAATGTGTGTAGATCCGCTTTTTATTATATCGAGCGATTCAGAATCACTTTCTCAATCCATTAAAGGTTGTCTGTCCACCTGTCCGTTTTGTTTCGTGTACAGACGTGGTTTGACTCAAGGATGAACGCTATTGAAAATGATTTGGATCGGACTACTTTCTCGACCATTTTCCATAGAACGCTTTATTTTGGAAAGTCGCCATATGAATAACCGCGTTAAGCAAAGTGATGTAGACTATTTAATGGTGGACCGTGCTCCTCTGTAGTGCTTTTACTTGTCATCCTCGCCTTAACGAAACGAGTTTGCGGAAAGCAGCTTCAGAATTTCATTATTTTTGCCGGTAGTCGATATTGGAAATGGAAAAAATGTTGCTATGTTCATACCCAAGAATTTCCTAATTCTACTCTCTAAACAACAGATGAGTTTATTTATCATAATGTAATCTGCGTTTGGAATTCTCTTAAAACTTTATTACAAGAATGGGTGTGACCCTCTTACAAATTGGCTAACATTACAATAATTTAATTCATGATACTTAGAAGCTCTTGAGAACCGAATCCAAACTAAGGTTAATATCAAGACTATAACCAACAATTACTTCCCTTATTTTCTGTACCCAATTTACAGGTGAACATGACATGAAAAATTTGTTAAAAGTAATATAGAAAATTGATTTTAACCATACACTCAAGTATAAATTTAAAAAAAATTGAAAAAAAACGTTATCATTAATAATAACTGTTAATTGCTACTTGTATTAATTGCTAAGGGGTGTATTAGATAGCGAAATAAAAAATAAAAGGTTTACCTTAAATTTATCTTATTTAAAAAAAGGTAAAAACAAAGAATCGGCTACAACTAGGAACGAGGATAAATTGTCTTCAAAGTCGAGATGAGCTATAGATTTTAAGTTCTTCAATAGAGTCTGAACATTAATCAAACCACATGTATATGAATTTTTATCTAACTTACGTGAGCCGATGCGGCTCTTGGCTTGTGTAGTATTATGTCACTTTAATCGGATCGTAATATCAGTTGCGTCTGTTTAGGAAATCAATTTAGCCAGACAGTAATAAAAAAGTAAGAAGGTTATATTCGACGTTGGCCGAATCTCGCATACCCATCACTACGTTTTTCTCATTCTACTCCCCAAGTTCTCTTATTTGATACCCATAACGCTGGCAGATAATATATCTTCATTTAAGGAGTGTATATACTTTTAAACCTTCGGTGTGTAAAATAATTTTCAACATTCGGTCTTGTTTGACTTATGATAAGTCGATATCGTCATTTTTGCGACCAGGACACAACACGCACGGGTAGGCATGGATAAATCAACACAGCATTGCACACTGATCAAGAATATATATATATATATATATATATACTTTATAGGGTCTCTGAAGCATCCTTTTGGATGTTACATATATTAGGGAAAAGAACAAAATGGGTGTACCCCTCATGTTGCAGTGGCGGGCACCACAAAGAGTAAAAACTAAAAATTTCTTATGCATCGATTCTAATAAATCGATACAACACTTGCAACTTGGTAAATAGACATGAACCCTAATCCGTAAACTCGTTATTATAATGTATTTTATCACGATGTGCTTCACAATCTCACAGTTTGACTGTGATAGAATTCGTTGTAAAAAGAGAGAATTTAATTCCGTCGTCATGACTAGTTCCAAATTTACAAACACAATTTTTTTTAGTGTTAATTGATAAAGTGAATTAAAAAAAAAGTTTGGATATCCAATACGAAATAACCAAAAAATTTGAATTCAAAATTCAAACACCTTTGCCAAAGTCAAACACCAATAAGAAAAAGCTACCTTTTTCAAATAAGAATCCTCATCAGCCACATGTTTATTTACAAGAAAAGAGACAATACACTGCACTGACTACGATTAACAGATGTTTCGGTCATCGATTACGTGTGCCTCAATTATATAGAAAAGTGACAGACTGGCACGAAATGAGTTCTTAGAACGACGAGTCATTAGAAAGACATTTGTTGTTACTGCAAGGCAGTGTTCAGTTTTGGTATCAGCTCAAGACGAGATTTTAATTGCTGTCGCAGCCATTTCACCCATACAAATGAAGATGGAACCAAAAATTAGTTTGTTTTCGGACGAAAAGAAGCAAGGTACACAATAAGCAACACATTCTTTATAAATAATAATAGCGGCCAGATGACCTTTGGACTGATTCTGAATAAAATTGCCTTGAAATAAGGAAAAGCATTATGGCAGGCGGTGATCCACTATTAAACACCCTATATCATCCTATAGGCATTCATAAAGCTATATTTCGAAATAAAGCGTTATATCGGAAGTGGTCGAAAAAGTGTTTCGATGCGAACCTTTTTCAACAGCGTTGGTCCTTGAGCCAAAACACGTCAATGTGACGAACTTCATCAAAATACCGTAAAAATTGCGATGAATGCAAGAATACAAGACGGGCAGACGGACTGACGAGCTTTCTGATTTGATCGACGTAAAGATAGGTAGGTCGGTCTATCTCAAATCATTCAGGGTGTTGCATACATCCGCACAAACGTTTTCTTTTTCGCTTCAGAGCAATTGCTATAGTTAAATTATTTTTGTGAGATACAATGACGAGATATTAATCTAAAAGACCATAGGATTTTTAATTTGCCATTTAACTTGGGTATCCATTTTCATACCAAGTGCAAAGGTTAAGATTTTATATAATGTGAAAATTTTCCTGTGCTGTTAATATATTTCCCCTGTTCTTTAGACCAAGAAGAGTTTCTATCTTTGTTCGGGTAAATTTTCTTCACATCTCTGTGATTGTGATACAATTGTGTTTTTCCCCATTATTTGTTGTAATTAATTTTTTCATTTTTCCTTTATTGACTTGGAAATTCACAATTTCCAATCATTTATTTATTTATTTATCTTTTTGTTTAAATAACGATTCAATTAAATATAAAATCGTAAGCGATTAATGCCGAAAACCCTGCAGTCGCCTATGAACAGTAAATTTCATTACAGTATTGCTATTATTTATATTAAATAAATATTAAAGCATACTTTATGGCTCAGCATGAAAATTAGAGTAACTGTAGAAGTTTAAGCAAACTTTTTTATAACGGTTATAAAAGTTATAAAAGCTTTGCTTAGTCTGCAAAAAAAAAAAGAAGAAAATTGTGTATGACTTTCTTTATATAAAATTTTTGAGCTTCTGTTTATGAGTTGCTTTGTAACCAAAATGTTGTTTCTGTTTTTTACCTCTTTTTTTTTCATTTCAACAAAATATGAATTTTAGTCAATTTCTATGCCCTACACCACTTGCAATACAGATATGTTACGTTTACGCAGAGGCACCAAACAACACGGGATAAACCTATTTTTCATTATATCAATCGATTCCAAAACTGATCTGTCCGTCTGTCTGTCTTTCTGGCGTCTTTTGATGGATTTTGTTAGCGTCACATTTATAAAGTGTACTTTTAGAGATATTTTGATATAAAACGAACCCTATTAAAGAGCAAACAAAGTATATGATAAATTTGAGCCATATTAGCTCATTCTTTCTAGTTCCTTGCATGGAGATTCCCATGAAGAGTTAACTTTTGATCTAATAACAATGCCTAGTATTTCCTCTAGTTTGAGTTCTTGAAGAAAAAGCAAAAAAGAAGCCATTAGATATAAGTTTGTTGAGAAAAAAGTTAACTATATCAAGTTTTGAGCACATTGGTTCACATTTTGAACTTCACCACATATATGAGTTTTTGAAATTCGTACGACTGAACTCGCTACATAATTTTATAAATTTTTAATTTTTCAACATAGTAGGCAGGGTAAGGTATAATAAGGCATTTTTTCAAGTTTTCTCTTAAATAAACAAACGCGAGAAAATTAATTTATATATTACAAGCATTTATATAACTTGATTTCTTGCGAGGATGGAAAATTCCAATCGCTGTTTCGAACATTTCCACATATCTAATCATTATAATATTTCCCACAACCCTTGATGAGTTACGATGGCAATGCATTGAGGTAAAGTCAAATTTTTTGTATATTCCCTATGGCGGGCGCTATAATATGGCGAATTTTTCTTTTTCTTAATAGCTTTCCTTCAAATGGGTATCAAACAAAAGGACTTGGGGAGAAAAATGAACTGAACAAAACTGACTGGGCATTTAGAAAAAATGAAATTTCTTACATATTGGAATGTTAAGCGCCTCAAGGTTTTATGTGCATTCACATAAAAGTCAATGTGGAATGAAAATTTTTCACCTTTTAGTTCACTTATATAAGAACTTATTTAAAAAAGAAAATTTTTTTACATTATTAATTTTTCAATTTATCTGTTACCTGATACCCTACGCTACTTGTAGACATATGAAACACTCAAAAGTACTTAAGATTGACCGGTCGATTCAATCAAAGCGTGCAAAGACAAACGCCATCGAAAATAGTTCGGATTAGACCTATTTTTCGCTCAGTTCCCGTACAACGCTTTAGTTTGAGAAGTTGTTATATGAAACGCGAAAGGGAGTTATTTAACGCTGGGCTATGGCCCACAATAGTATTTGCACTCTTTTTTTTTCTAATTTGCAAACTTATGGTTGATGAGAAGGAAATAAATTTTTTGCAATTTAAAACTGAATACAAAAGTAAAATAACTCTACTACAGTGAGCGACCGCATAAAAAATCACGTACTCAAGGGATTTTATTTAGGCAACCCGCTACCATAGTTAATTTAGCCAGAGATATAAAGGCTAAGAAGGCTGTCGTTGAATTGTTTTAAAAATTTTGTTTAATTTCAATAATGTAAGCATTTCTGTTATTCACTCGCTATAAGAAAATTCTACAGACTTTACCTAAGCTTAATATTAAGAAGACAGATAAGATCCTCTGGCGACGCTTTATAGTTTAATAATACGCAAATTATATAACATTTCTGAAACTTACCTTCCATAACATAAACAATACTGCCGACATCGCCTTCTTTAATGATGAGACTTTTAGCGGCATATTTCACCGGATACATGCAGTCAACGATCTCTTGAATCTGAGCGATGTCAAGATTTTTCATAAAATCATTGTCCAAAATAGCGGATTTGATGAGATCGCGTGATCTATGAGAAAAGGCAGAAAGAAGAAGAGAAAAATTTTAATGTTAAATAAAGAAAGCAAAAAATTATTGTAAAAAGTTTTGTTTTAAGTTTTACTTTGAGGATTTGAGAGTTCGTAAAAGTCGAACTTCTGCTTCTTGCAAATTGATTAAGGGTTCTGCACTACAACCTTGACGCTTAATTCGCCTATGTTTATAAGTTAATTGACTTTGATGTTGTTGCCAAAATACTTGCGTTAACGGCTTTACTATCTGACGAAATTTGTCGATTTCATTCTGCAATTCTATTACTAAGGCATCTTTCGCTTCGCACTCTTGCTGCAATCGAGCTATACTCTGAGAAAAGAAACGATTACGTTCTTGACATTCAATCAAAGTGTCTTCTGTATCTTTCAAAGCATTTTTAAGATAAACGGCAAGCTCTTCAAGATACCGATGCTTATCCTCAATCGAACAATCGTTCTCGAGGCAAATTTTGAAACATTTCTCTGTTTGATTGTCTTGCATTATTCTTTATCGATCTCGAGTCTGACTGCGTACAAGTTAATTTCACGATTGTGTTTTATGTTGCAAACAATTCAATTGCTTTCATTAATCTTTGTGATATTAGTTCGTTTAATTGATCGTTATCGATGGTGAGATTCTTTTATGAATTTATGTTACCCGCGATAATAAGATGATGAAAAATAAGTCTTTCAGACTTACAAATAGTTTTCCAAAGCGCTATATATATATATATTTTTTAGTCTTTCCGATAAAAATTAAGTTGTTATTATTGATTTTATTTTGATTGATTTTTTATTAATACAAGATACGTTCGAAATATTTATCATGCCTGGCCATAAGTGTTTTACATATTAACAGATATAGTTTAGGCTATTGCACCCATATCTCACTACCATTCAATTCTTAATACATGTATATATACAAATATATATATATATATGTATATATATATATATACATATATGTACATTTGAATGTGCATATGCGTGTCAATTGCGAGGGCAATGCCATTGTTATGAAAGACATGTGCTTTTCAATGCATGAATGTATGTATGTCGTGTATAGAGTAAATGCATACTTGTTGCATTTACACATTGAATGGATTGTTATTCCTTTCGTTTATTCATTCAATTAATAGCAATCAAGAAAAAACAAACGCAAATTGTGTGTAAAGAAAAAATTGAGAAAACGAAACGTAAATAAACTTTAACTTTAAATCAGTGTAGATATAAGCTGGCTCGAAGCAAAATGCAACGATTTCAAGCACGAAAAGTGTCAATTGCTGCTGTCCCTTAAAGCGATATCAAATTGTGATTTTGATAGTTTTTGCAATTTCTTCGATACGAAACTTGAATTACCGCCCAGAGACACTAAACGAAACTAAACTAATCATTCAGTCATTCACTCTCGTTTACTAGAGATCGTTTACATATTCGAAACAAAAAGGAAAAAAAAAAAAAAAACTTAAAATTTCAATGTCATCATCGCACAGTTGTCACCGTTGAGGCCATCAGCACGCTTATACAAGTTTACCATAATAGTCGCTTATTACCGTAATTGCTTGAAATGCTTTATTTAAATGCTTATTACCAACCCGAGTCTTTGTATATAAATTTTCATCAAGAAACTACAAATTTAAGTTTTACTTATTTGCTAAAAAAAAAAAAGTATTTTTTTTATTTCAATATTCATTAATTATTGCCGCGTTATGCATACAAGCCTTGAATTTCAGGCCACATTCAAGTAAAATATTCCATAAACACTGCTTTTTCATGAGCGAATAACTAAATGAATTTATGAATCCCGCGATATTATACACTGTGTACTTAAGCCGCTAGCGTATGTAACGAACTGTTCAGCACTTTGCTATGGAATGGTAAAGCATTCGTCATAGCTACTATTGGCACTAATTTATTGGCTGAGAACATGAGAAGAAATGTAGAGCTTTATTCGCTACTATAACACGCCTATATAAATGAAAGATTAGTTCCTTGCTTCAGTTGGCTAGATTAAGAAATAGATAGGCTGCGCTTGGTACACTCTTAATACGGAAAGAGAGTACACATCGGCTATGCGCCACTCGTGTATACAATTCGTCAAACACAGAATAAGATTCGCTTAAAACCTAAGCACCATTGCCCTCTCTGAGTCTTATTGGCCATTCTACTGGCAGGATTAGATTCATCTAAAGGCTAACTTTCTTTGCTCACACAATAGCTTGTGACCCGTTATGCAACGTCCATCATTATGACCCATTGTGATATATCCATCGCCTGACAGGAGTAGAATCATCCTAAAGCCTAACTTCGGCTGTCCACTCAGTAACTTGTTAGCCATACTGCAACGTTCATCATCCGACAGAGCTGAATTCATCTAAAGCCTAATTTCGCCTGACCACCTAGTATATCGTTACCCATTCTGCAACAGCCATTAGCCGTTGCTCCTTTTTTCGTCGAAAACTCCTCTAACAAAATTTATTCTTATTAACTTGCTTTGATGCAGCGCCTACTACGACTTTTTGCATACGTAACTCATCGGTCACATTTTCACAATGGCTTAGTTAAGTTTCATCAAGTGACAACCCAAAGGCTCAAATAATAATTTTTAAAATAATGAACAACATTTTTACTTATTTAGCAAACTTTCAAAACTACATAAACGGTATTCGACCAAAATGTCCATAACTCACACGACTGTACGTTGTAGGGAGCATTGTTATCGCATCCTAAACGTAGGGTTTAAGTTAGATTAAGCGTACTAAGTACGCAAAGATTAGGTTAAGGTTAGTTGTGTGAGACAGAGTTATTACCGGGCTGACCAGGGAGCAAGAAAGGATGCTGCACAGGAATAGTTGCGACTAATGCTTGTTCTTGGGAGGAATTTCTGTCTCGCCGGGGAACGTATTTTCAGTGAACTGATAGATTTATTGAGGAATTTTTGGAAAAAACAGCAAACAAATTGAAAAGTGCTCTCAATACATTAATGATTATCGAAACTAAAATCTTATTAACATACTTTCTTGTAATTACAAAATTTAATTACCATTGTTGATATGACTTTACTGTAACTTTTGCATGAACTATGGTTTTAGCTTCGTATTTACAATTTTTCGTTTGCTATATTCTCAGATTATCTACAAAACGTGCGATATAATAATAATAATAAATCATTGAAAAACTTTCCATTTAGAAAGAAAAAAAACAACCAATGGTCGAGTGGAAAAAATTAGGCGTAAGTATTAATAAATTCACTTTGTTGTCTTTTATGATTTAATTTTTTTGCTATTTAAACATTTCTCCATTCCTGTATAATTTATGCCCGCAATTAATTGCGGGCTGGCGCAACGCTATGCTTTTAGAAAGAGGATTTAGCAATGGAAAGACTAATCTTTCTGTATAAACGTTTACAAAATTATTGCAGCGTGGTTTATAAAATATTATGTCTTGTCGAAAATGTCGCCATATGTTATGGGAGAAAAATTTATTTAAAACTGTCTGAGATAATTAATTTTACTCTATAATAAAAAAAGATGTCAACTCATTCTTTACGAACAATCTTTAAGTAAAAGAAGATCATAATTTTCGACATCATTTATGGGACGCATTTTAAAAAAGAAAGCTTTTGCCATTTTTGCTTTGAAAATTTTGAATCTTGATTTTTGTTTTTTTGAAAAGCTTATCCCTTATACCCCACACTGGATAATCATACTTTGACAAATGTACGGTGTGCCGATATTGTCATGTGCTGGCGCTATACTGCTATATATAGTTTAATATAATAAGTTTACAGATGCCTAACCGTGTCAACACTAACTTTATCAACTTAGTTTCTGGTGCGCGTGAAACATGACAGACCATAAATAATTGAAAAAAAAAAAAAACATGCGTACATATTTACATGTATGCATACATTTACATTATGTATATACATTATGTAAATGCATGTACAATTGATCTAGTCCCATGTGACTCCTGGCTATTCTGTAAATTCAAAGCCAAGAAAGAAGAAGAGAACGCGAGATAATGTTTTAGCTTGATTGAAGAGACACAAGCTGAATCGCAGACAACTTTCAGATCCATTCCGGAAATTGACTATAACAATTGTTTCGCTGATTGAAAAGACGTTGGCAAAAGTGTGTAGTGTCTGAGGGGTATTATTTTGAAGGCGACGAAATACGTTTGGAATAATAAGTCGATTTAAAGACAATACATTTACATTGGCCTTAGTTTGTGATATATATAGGATGGCCCAAAATTTACGCTAGATATTAATATGTGCGGTAAAATATTGGCAATCCCAAAGAAACTAAGAGTTTGACAGCTGACAGTGTAGAGTTGGCAAAAATAGAGGATTGGACGGGAGAGCAATGCGTCTTCATTGTTGAACAATATTTGAAAATTAATGAAAGCTTGGCGGCTATAGTTCGCAAGCTGCATATAAAATTTTTTTTATGAGACTATTTAAAGATAAAAGTCTAAGCTCACAACCACCCATGGACTAAAGGTGGACATTCAACGCTGTATCAACAAAATTCAACAACGAAATGGTCATGGATGGTCGATGAAAGATTACCGTCCGCCATGACCACCATTTGCCCCACATGTTATTCTGCAGATAATCCTATCCTATGTACATTATGATTCAATAAAAAAATTATAAAAAAAAGGCCTTTTCTAATAGTTTTGGTGTACATTATGTACAAATAATAATCGCGACTTGCAAAAGGGGACTGTGTGATTACGATGGAATTGTACTACCAACTGTTTATTTTAAGTTTATTTACTAATTATTATTGCATATACAACATATTCAACATGAAGATTGTAAGCAAAAGATGAAATTCTTTAGAAAATTGAAAAAGATCGGACTATGGAATTAGAGATTAGGTAAAATTGCAAGAGATTTCATCCATTTATGTAGTTTCCGATTTGATTTTCCAGTAGTCTTCCTACTAGTGTAGACAAAGGTGCAAAGGATTCCTTCTAACAACTCAACGGT